TCAGCTGCAGCAGGTCATCAACCAGGTTGCCAAGTCGCAGCAGCAGGTCCGCGTCCAGGTCCCCCAACAAGGTCTGAAGCAGCAGGTCCAAGTCCAGCAGGGTCTGAAGCAGCAGAGCAGGTTCAGGTCCTCAGCAGAACTTAACCACCACCCAGAATAACGCGTCTCAGCAGCTGAAGAGCGTCCGCCAGCAGGTCGCCATGCAGACCTGCAGCCCAGTCCAGGTGGTCCAGAAGAAGGTGAGTCTGATGTGGAGCCCGGTTTAAGATCAGTTTGGTTCATCTGGACTGTAGCGTACTCACCTTGTCCAGACTGATCTAGACTGACCCCTGCCTGTTTCTGTTTGAGGCTCTGCAACTGAGCTCCACTCACCTGTCGGCTCACCTGCACTGTCATCAGAACAGGACAAGGTTCCCAACCAAGGGGACGGACCCGCATGGGGCCACAGGGTCAGTCTGAGAGGCCAGGGGATGATTGACAGGAGCAGAAAAAAAACATTTCTGTTTCACAAAATCTGTTTGTTTATTCAGAATTTGGGTTTTTCATGTGAGCCGCTGGATATTGTGACCTCTCCTGGACCCTGAATCTCGTGTTCGGGTTTAATCTGAAGTAGTTTATTAGAACTTCATGTTTCTGGTATCACAGACTGGTCGTGTTGCTTCACCTGTTTCTTGGCGATTCCTCGACTCGCATTACGTGCGTCGAAGCGTCGCTGCATCCGCTGTTAGCTGGGATTCCCCCGGACAAGCTGCAACTACTGGACCGTCTAAAGTTTGGGAGTATTCAGACTCAACGGCGTGCTGCTCCGTGAGCTTCACTGCAGCACAGCTGGTGTCCACGAACACGTGAAGCGAAGTATCCTGGAGCTCTGACGGCAGCTCCGCAATAGAGCTGCAACGATTAGTCCGACGTCGACTATAAAAATTAGTTTACGTGAAACTTCATTGTCAGTGCGTCCTTACATAGATGCCGTTTAAGGGAGAGATAGCAATCTTCATATTAGGAACATTTGTGGTTGTTTATTCTTACTGCGGTGCACTACAGGAAGTGCACTGCCGGCCGGCCAGTCCCGCCCCAGAGCGCCCTGGTCCAGTTACTCAGACCACTGCAGCAGCAACAACAGGGGAAAGGCAGCGTTTCCTATAAGTTCATCTATTTGTGGCGGCCCGCCACAATATCAACGCTGCCGCCACATACTGATTTTATTTTTAATTTTATTTTACTAGGCCTATTTAAAATCTTATTTGATTATAGATCAGCGCCGTAGCGTCTCTCTCTACCTCATAAACATCGCAGCACAACACTGGACCCAGCCTTAAAAAGTTATTAGTAAGGAGTAATGGTTTAAAGTAAATCAAGAAACATCTGGCTCGTGACGTCGCCTACAGAACATTGTCTGCATAAAACCTATAAGCACTTTTGATGCCTGTCGCTTTATTGTTCTAAATGGACATTGTTAGTGTGCAGTTGTGGTTTTAGTACTTGCTTTTATTTGTTTGTATAAATCAGTGAGTTGGGGGAGCCTACGCTGTCTTGTCGTCTTCCCTGGCGCTGATACTGGTGGCCATTGTGAAGAGTTAACCTCGTTCACTTAATGGGAACGTTGGCTCGTTAGGCTGTGTTAGAGATCAGTGATTCACTTGAAAGATATTTAATTAATTAAATGGTTTAATGAGGGTTAGGGGGAGACAAAAATAATCGGGACTAGTCGACTAATTGAATAAATAATAACAGATTAGTCGACTCTGAAAATAATCATTTGTTGAAGCCCTACACCACAAATCCTGGTTACTTCCACGAGCACGGTGCGTTTCTTCATCGCCTTCATGTTAACAGTAATTTCTGCCCCGCTGCTGTCATGGTAACGTTACACCGCGTGTTACGGCCGTTTCATGTTCTCTGTTTATTTAACGGCCACGTCTGAGCGAGAAAACAGCTGATCGTTACAGACGATCTGTTCCAGGTGTTTCTTTGCTCCACGCTGATGCAGAAACATCTGATTATCAGAGTGCATCACTCAGTACTGAAAATAACTCCAGGAACAGTTAAAGCAAAGCAGCCTGATTACTGTCGGTTATTGTCATCACAACACATCAGTGACGAGGAAACTGGATTCACTTTAAGATGCTGCTGTTGTCATTATTCTAATGAATTGAATAAAATATTGATTAATTGAGTTTATTTTGGTTTGTTAATCGGGTAATAAGCAACAGCCCTCCTCACAGGTCCGATCTCTGAGTTTTCATCTGCTGTCTGGTTTCTGTCTTTTTAGTCAGAACCCATCAGGATCCAGATCCAGGTTCCCCCCAAGCCAGAAGTGAAGCCCAGCACCGCCCCCCAGCAGAAGAGCGTAGCTGTCAATCATCCGCAGGTGAAGCTGTCGGCCAATGGCAGCGTGAGCAGCGCTCAGATCATCCACATCCAGCCTGCGGTGGGTCAGCAGGGTCAGCAGTTCTTCCTGCAGCAGGGCCCGGGGGAGACCCCCATCCAGCTGCTGCTGCAGAGCCCCGTCCCCGTCGTTGGATCTCTGCTCCCGTTGGTCCACAAGCTCACGGGCCAGACGACATCAGCAGGCAACGGCGCCAGTCCGGCTCAGAAAACTGCCATGTCCCCCATCAGAGTCCAGGCCCCCCCCATCGTCAAGACCCCGCCCACCTCTGTTGCTAAAACTGCTAGCGTCCCGCTAATAAAGGCCCCTACTAACGGCACGACAGCAGCCCCCAGTAAGAGCCCCGTTAAACCACCTGCAGTCCTCACGGCGTCCCAGTACAGGCCGCCACACCTGCTGCTGCCCGGCCCGCCGCAGTAGCCCCGCCCTCTTTGAACCCGGCCCCAGCGGTGAAGGACAGAGACAAGGAAAAAGAGAAGAAGGTGAAGAAGAGGGAAAAGAAGGCGGTGAAGGTCCAGACCCGATCCGGTCGGGTCTCCAGGCCACCAAAGTACAAAGCCAAAGACTACAAGTTCATAAAGACGGAGGACCTGGCCGACAGCCACCAGTCCGACTCCGACGACTACTCAGACATGAGCGTGGAGGAGGAGGAGGGCGGGAGGAAGGACGGCCCCGCCCCCGGCACATCCCTCACCTACAGCCACAAGTCCCGGTCCCACCGCTGCCAGACCTGCGACAAGGCCTACATCGGTCCCGGAGGCTTGAACCGGCACTACAAACTAAACCCGACCCATGGCGAGCCTGATCCGCCCGGCAACACGCCTGGCAACACACCACGCCCCCTCAGAGAAGACAGCCATTCACAGGAGACGACGGCAGGTGTCGCCAGAGAAGAAGAGGAAGAGGAGGAGGAGAGAAGAAGGAGGACAAACCCGCTGCCCCAGCAACAAACAGGGTTAGAGACTGATCCACCAATCAGAGCTCAGACCTGGAGGGAGGATCATATCACACCTGCTGCCTGGTTGTTATTTACCTGTCTGACTTTTACTTTCTGTCTTCAGGTGGAGGGGGGCCAGCGGCAGCTGTGGGACTCCGAGGCCTCCATCACCGGGGCCCCGGCCGGCCCCGAGGACGAGGGAGAGGCAGGGGACGGGGCCGCGGCCGGGGCCGATCACTAGGGCCGCCTCCTAAGGTGAGCTCACCTCAACCTGTGCAGGGCACCACAACAGTAACCCTTCACCTGCTGCTCTTCTTCATGGTAACTAATTGGTTAATCTGATTGGTCAGTTCTCTCAGGTGACAGTCGGCCTCGTCAGCAGACGGGGGCGTCGTGGTCGACCGCCAAAGCTCGCCATCGCCACAGTGACTGCCGAGCAGCAGGCGGAGAGGAGACGAGACCGACTGCAGGAGGTAAGAGGGAGGAAGTGGAGACGTGGACTTTCAAAGTAAAGTTTTTCTTTGAAGGCGTGATGTAATGACCTGATGTGGTGTTTCAGCTGGTGGAGCAGTGTGAGGATGAGGAGCTGATGGACATCGTTCTTCCTCGTTTGACCAAAGTGTTGAGTCTGTGGGAGCTGCTGCTGGCAAAGGTACACACTAATACTCTCACAGTACACGCTCTGTGTATGTTTGTGTGTATATTTCTTCTTCTGGTTCTTCACCGTGCAGAGAACATCCGAGCTTTGACAGGTCGGGTTTTGATGTAGTTTACGACGACGTCTGTCGTGACGTCTTCAGCTCTTCGCGGTGTTTCAGTGTGTCCACTGCTGAGCGTCCACTGAGCGCCGTCTGTGCACATCCCCACGCAGTCATTTCGGACCGGCCTCTTTTAAGTCGGCGTCAGAGTTCTTCTGCTGGCGCTCTGGTTGCAGGAGAGCAGATCCTCCTGTAAATCAGCAGCATTGACAAATCAAATGGTCCTTGTTACCGTCAGGCGCTTCATCTGCAGAGCAAAGCGAACGTCGTAGCTCGCCGTTGAGCTGCTCCTCTGTGTCCTGTTTGTGATAAACGATGGTGTTTAGCTTGTTGGCTGTTGCTTCATCGGTCGTTGTTGAAAGTAGAGATATCAGAAGGAAGTATTTGTTGCTCGGCTGCAGAGCTTTTTCCACCTTGCAGCTCTGAAGCAGCTTTACATGAGGCCAGTTGAGCTTTTGATGCCCCCCCCCGCCCACTGTAGGCATAAATAATAAATAAATTATGGTCCCATTTAGAGGACAATAGAGCAGAGAGCAGAGAGCAGAGGAAGCTTCAGGAACCGTTTAAAAATGAGACCGCTGCTCTTTTATGAAAAGCGCTGACTCCACAGCTGGTCGGACTGCGAACAGGCGACGCTTCGCACCGAGTGTCAGCAGAACACAAAGCAGCACATGTTGAGTAGCTGGACTCTTCAGAGTAATCAAGGACACGTGTCTCTGATGGTCCTTCTTTAGACCCGGGTCAGGAAGTGTACTTTGTGCTCTGGTATTCCTGACAAACGGCTCTGTCCTCTGGCTGTTTCAGGTGGAGCGCCGCGGTCCAGCTCGGACTCGGTTTCCAGACATCTACCGTGAGTTTGAGTCCCTGCAGGCTCAGGTGAGACAGGCTGCTCAGGACTACATCATCAGCCCTCAGGGCGGGGCCATGCCGCTGGAGGTCAGGAACATCGAGGTGAGACGTCCTACTGGGTTCTGCTGTGGAGGTTCTGCTGCGGTGTGTGTAGCGGTCTGTGGACTGTACTGTGTGTTTCAGGTGGCCCGGTCTCTGGGGATCCTGGATGAGGTGAACAGGATGAAGGTGGTTCCTGGAGCGTCTCCCAGCTCCAGTCTGGCCAATAAGAACGTCCGATACATGGAGGTAAACACGCCATCGCGTTCTGAGAGCAGGATCCAGGTTTGGTCTGGATCCAGTATCTGTACCTGCACACTGGTGCCAGAGTCCAGAGGCCTGTACTACGAAGCGAGGTACCTGGCTTCTCCGGGTAACTTCAGGTGTAACTTTCTGATTAATCCGAAAGGGAGAGACAGGTGTTACCTGAGGCCTGTTGCCATGGCGATTTATCTTTCGGTCTGTGCACACAGCTGCTGTGTTAACTTCATACTCGAATGATCCACCGTCTGAAAGCTAAAGTCCAAGATACAGTGAAAAGTGGCGCGACTCACCGACGAAGCCTCACAGTAACAACAACAAACGCTCTTGTTACGCTGTCCAGACGATCCAATCCAGTAAAACATTTAGTTCGAAACACATTATTCCATCAGGAAATCCTCAGGACGGCTGCCGCATCGCTTCAGATCTGCCGGCAGACGCGGCTCGTACGTCATTATAACCAGAATAACTCCGATTTGAACGGAAACGACTACGATAGCTTGTATTCAAATTAGCTGCTGAACTCTGACCTTTCGACTGACACCAAATCTGACCCAATAGGAGCTCACATGTCCCTTTCACCGCCTACAGCAGCCAATGAGAGCCCGCGCTGTGAGGAAAGGCCGGCCCCTGTTATTTCCTGAACCAATTGCAACCAACTGTGCTGATGACGGGCACTTCCTGTAGCCAATAGGATTCTGAAAATAACGACCTCCAGCTTTAAGTAGGAAGTTCATGATCTACCAGCAGAAACGCACGTCTGCGTGGAGCTGCCGGCTGATACGGAGCGACGCAGCAGCAGCCGCCTGCCGCCAAGGGGGCGGGGCTGATTTAGAAAAAATATGCTGTGTCAAACATTTTTCATGGTATTGGTATGAAATGTAAACTTGTTCTAGGCTTTATGCTGCGGCCCTGCAGTGTTTCCCAGCTGTAGCTGTCTGCAGGCATTTGTTAGCAAACATTTTCAAGCGGAAATGAAAAATCTATTAGTTTTAGTGTTTAAGCTGATATTCATCAGTTCCAGTAGCTCTTACAGTCATTCTGATATCTTTCTTGACCTAAATTCAATTTACTGTGCATCTGCCTTGAAGAGGTTTTGCATGACTTTGACAGAAGAGGTTGACTCGAGGTTACTCTGTATACTACACACCACATCTGTACTCCGTGTTAGGATGAGAAGTATTAATACACACCTCCTTATAAATATAATCAGAAATGTTGAGTGTTTTTGTGATTATAAGTTCCTCTAAATCTTCATCTTGGAAGTTTCCCCCGACTCCATATTTATATGACCGTGGACACGACGTGCAGCTGCAGCTTTACATCTTCATCACATTACACATAAAAGAAGAGCCCATCGAATACTAACCAGAGAATTACAACGACAGCACTGAAGATAATTACACATTTACTCAGTGCTCTGCCAACAAGCTTAACCTGGCTTTGATTTAGCCGTTAACGTGTTAAACTCTTCCTCTCCGGACACTGCCGGTGTAGCAGGCAAAGACTTTAACCTGCTCAGATTTAACTCGGGTTACCAAACAAATTCAAACTACGACGGTGAAAAAAGATGTTTGTTAGTTGACTTGAATTAGGGCCAAAAATGACGTGGCCAAAAATGTTATCACGATAAAAACATTTCATATCATTCGATATCGATAATTATCACGATAAACGTCAAGTCATTATTTCTTTTGAGTTTAAAGGCTGATTTTTGCTCCTGAGTGAACATTGAAGAAACCAGCTGGTGAATTATGTGGTTCAACTTTTCAAACACTTCACAAGTCTGAGGGAGAACATTCAAAACTATTATGATAAAAATTCAACAAATATGATCAGTAAATCTTTTTTTAGTCCCTTTTCCTCAACAAAATAAATATTTAATAGAAAAAGTGCTAATTTTTTGCGATTCAAATGAATTAAACGAATCTTTATTGAGGATATATTGAACATTCATTCTATTGTTATTGAGGAAAATGATATTGTGATCGGTGCCCTGCATCAAAGGGCCGTGTTTGTGTTTCTTCTCCAGAAGAATGGCGTCGACAGTGTCTGGATATGAGCAGTTAAAGACACGTTAACGGCTAAATCTACAACAAACCTACAACTAGTGTTGTAGTCAAGACCAAGACCGGACATTACAGGACGCACAATAAAATGTGGATCGAGATCACAGGTGCTTCTCAGATTGATCTGAAAGATCCACTTTCCCGTTAAAACCCCCAGATACAAACACTAAGAGCTGAAATCAACGTCAGCATCTTTATTCAACGCTCCTCTTCCACGCTGAGCATCGCGGGGAGGGAGGGGGGGCAGGCGTTAACGGGAACAACACATTTTAATCAGGGTTATTTTTTATTTGAATCAGTACATGTATGGAAAGAAAAACACTTTATTACTTTATATATCTTAACATTGAAGTGAGGCTCTGGAGGAAGCACACGGCTTCACATCTCACTCCGCATTCCTTCATCAGATCGTTAGCCCTCCCCGTCTCCGTGGATTAATATACGGACGTGACCAGGAAACCTTCAGGATCGCAGTTCAGGTCTGCTCCCAGAGTCCCAGCTCAGCTGCAGAGGAACCAGTCAGGATCAGACCTGGAGGTGTGGATTAATTAAAGTAACCATGGAGATAACCTGCTCAGAGTTTAGAGGTGCACTGACCTCCGGGAAAACCTGTCCCCCTTTTGTAGTACGGGTTCAGCAGGAAGTTTCTCCTGGATTAGCCGGGTACCTCGCTTCGTAGTACAGTTGTACTCTGATAGAAACCGGGACTTTGGAACCAGGACTCTGTGGCAGCTAAACACCTGATCCAGGTCCAGTCTGATTCACTTAAAAACTCTGTTTCCCAGAATTCAAAGATGCTGCCGCCTTCAAAGAGATTCAAGATGGAGAACAGCGTTTCTGTTCACCAGAACGGCATCGAGACGCCCAGAACAGGTACCAGTACTGCGTTTGTACTGCATACTACTGCAGTTTCACTACTGCAGCTGATAATTTGAACTTTTCTTTCCCAGGTGGAGCCGCAGGGACCCCTTCGCCCCCTGTGACCCCTGTGACCTCCTCTCTGAAGCCCTGCTCGGTCTCTGTGTCCCCCCTGGTGATCCCAGGTGCATCCAAACTGCTGACCACCACCGCAGACTCCGCCTCCAGGTGAGTGTACAGGTAGAACAGGTGATCTGGAGACTGTCAGTGTCACACCTGGACCAGGTCTACAGGGCTGATGTGTTTCTCTGGTCCCCCAGCTCCTCTGGCTCCAGCTCTGCTAAGATGCCCTCCACCCAAGCTCCTCCGCCTGTCACCCCCATGGAAGTGACCCCAGCTGAGGACCAGGACCAGGGGCCTCTGCAGACCACCACCCAGGTGGAGACTCTGCCAGCAAGCCAGGACCAGGTCCTGAGCACCAGTGACATCACAGCCCAGATGAAGGAGCTGGAGAAAGCTTTGGGTTCAAGTCCCGAGACCACCACAGACTCAAAGACTCCCGAGTCCAGCTCAGTCCAGACTCCCGAGTCCAGCTCAGTCCAGACACCCGAGTCCAGCTCAGTCCAGACTCTGGCTCCCTCTGAGCTTCAGCAGAAGGACTCCTGCCAGGCCGAGTCCGGCTCCACAGACCCCTGTGAGCCCAAAGAGCTGCAGGAGGGTCAGGAGATCTACATACAGACTGAGGGGCTGACGGTCCAGCTGGCAGAACCAGGATTAGACGGGATCGTGATAGTCAACGGGCCCGACGGAACCACCATGCACATCCAGACCCCTGAGGGGGTCCCTCTGGAGGCAGTCCAGGCCCTGCTGGGTATTGAGGCTTCAGATGGAGCCAAAACTCCTCAGTGAACCCTGAACAGAATTGGAAGACCACAACCTGACCTGAACCACATCACACTAACACGCACCTGTCGGCCAGACAGTTTCCTGTAGCGCCCCCCTCAGGACATCCTGTACACTATAACCGAAGGGGGCCCGACGAGTCCTAGACCGCTGTGGCTCAGGTGTCGGTTCCGCCCTGTTTCAGATCAACACCTGAGGACAGACTTAACGTCCCGCCTGCATCTCGTTCTGTCTTCATCAGACCGTTTAAAAACCAGTTTGAAGTGTTTCTCCGTTCAGAAAGCAGAGAGGCTGCCGGGCCACGTCGTCATCGATCGACTCATTTTCTTATTTTATTTTGTGAAGCTGAGCTGCTGTCCTGAGAGCAACGTGACCTGAAGATCAGGACTCGGCAAGTCCTGCCCTCTGGGTCATAGACTCAACGGTAGTATAAGGAGAAGACTGAAGTTTGTGAGTACGTAGTGTCCTCTCTGGGCTCCCGTACTCTCATTTATCATCTCAGCTCGTGGTCTGATTGGTCGGCTCAGCTCTCACCGGTGATGGCGGCGGCGGCAGCTCTTCGGCTGGTTTTTAAGGAATCTGGAAAGATTGTAAATTTGTAAACTTGTTTCTTTTTCAGTGTTTCCATGTTTGGAGCGCTTCATCTAGAGACGTCTTGATTAGTTGTTTATGTAGATAAATATGAAAACAAAGTTTAAAAAAAGTTGCACTATTTTATTACTTTTATAAAACTTCACGGCGAAACATTTTCCAGACGTAAAGTTTGTAACGATGTGAGGACGGACTGCGGAGCGCTGGGAGGAGATCCACCTTTACTGGTTTGTCATGTTGATTACACACATTTCATGTTCCTCCAATAAACTGATCAGCTCTGACCTCTGTGTGATGATGTCATCAGGCGTGTCACTCCTGATTTAAAAAGTAATTAAATGTAATAAGTTACATCACTCTGCATTTTTAATCACTTGTAATCATCCATTACATTTCCAAAGTAACCTTCCGGCACGGCGTGCAGCTACGGCAGAGCGGCGAGCAGTTTGATGGACACGGTGACACTTTGTTCTTCAGAAACTATCTTTACTGTTACAGCAACAAATGTCAGTTAACAAAAACATTCAGAGTGAATCTGGAGACCGGCGCTGCTCCGACAGAAACACACCTGAGGACCACAGGTGACAGGAAACGGACGATCCCCTCGTATCGAAGAGTCGCAGTTCGCCCGCAGCCTCAGGAAGTGGATCCGCCTGCTGCTGTTTCTGCAGCTGCTCACCAGCTCCCCTGCGGTCCGAGCTAAGCTAAGCTAACTCCTGTCCGTATGACATCACAGCGTGCGGTGGCCGGTCTCCAGCAGCAGGGCCTCCAGGGTCAGTCTGGCCTGGGGGGGGACGAAGGGCTGGTGCAGCCAGCAGGACAGGTAGACCATGCAGAGGTCGGAGGTCGCGGCGTGGGCGAGTTCCTGCAGGATCAACTGCTTCAGCTTCAGCTCCCGACTGAAGCACCGCAGCAGGAAACGAGACGAGTCCTCTGCAACGAGACAAACGTCAGAGCGCCGCGGGAACAAGCTGCCGACATCACGCGGGCGCACTGCGGGCAGCGGGAAAACTCACCGAAGTGTTTGCTGCTCCAGCTGTGAAACAGAGGAAACTTTCTTCCTTCAGGTCCGAACTGAAACTCTCCAGATCCTGAACGCCACGCTGTGATGTCATCAAGCGCTCCATCTTCGTCACCACGACAACCTGACGGGAATCAGAAGATGAATCGACATCAGAAACAAGCATGAGAAGGGGGGTCGCCTCAGGGGCCCGGGGGGTCGCCTCAGGGGCCCGGGGGGGTCGCCTCAGGGGCCCGGGGGTCGCCTGAGGGGCCGAACATCAGAGTTATCTGATCATTAAACAGTTCATTAGTTAGTTCTGCACCAGCTTACGGTGGAATAGTTTTTCTTTAAAGTCAGACCCAGTTGCTGGAAAAAGTTTTATGACATTTTGCTCCTGAAATCCAGCCTGAATCCACTAAAAAGTTTAGTCTGATCGGATTTCGGCTGTCGGATTGGATCAAATCCTGAAAATGGTTGTTCAAAAGAAAAAAAAGGATTCTGAAATCGGATCAGATCACCTGATCTGGATCCAACCTTCAGTTTGTGGTGTTCAGAACTTTGTAGTAGAGTCAGGATTATCCTGATCCCAACAGAAGGCTGGATTTCAGGAGCAAAATGTCATAAAACTTTAGAAATTTTTCCAAACAACACATTTGATCATGTTGGAGCCTAAATACACATTTATATTTTTAACTTGATTGTTTAAACTTAACGGTGATAAAGTCGACGTTTCCTTTAAGCCTTTCAGTAAAGTAAAAGACGGGCCGACTGTTTAAAGAAACTGAAAATGTTTGTGTTTTGTTTTATTGTGCATTTTATTAAAGCGACCCCCCCGCCGGCTGTTCCACCTGTTGGTCTTTGTATCAGTAACTACGTGTCTGTCTGACGCTCTAATGAGGTCGTTGAAGGTCAGCCTGCTCTGTATCTGCTGTCAAACGCTCAAATCTCACGTTAACTTGGTCTCAGTCCGAACACGCTCTGGTGTTTCTGTTTAAACTGCAGCAGCTTCGTTTCCACCATCAATGAAACTTCCTCCTCAGTTACAGTAAATCGAGCGTCACCATTTTGTCGATGACGTCTTGCAGTTTGCGGCATTCGTCCTGCAGCGCCGCAGCTTCGCCCGCCTGCTGCCACGGAGCTGATGAAGACGAGGAGGAGGAGGATGATGATGAAGACTCGTCGTCCAGCAGAAGCCGATCGCTCTGAGACCTGAAACAGACAAAGTGATGGTTAAACTACAAACACCAGAAATCCACATCCTGGCTCAGTCACACAGGAAGCAGCTCTTTGCTTTGAGTGATCCAGGGGCGCCAACAAGACGTTTTTGTTGTGGGCCCAAAAATGAGGTCAAAACCCTGCGACACCCCGTTGCACGTGAGAGACGGAACCGTATTTTTATAATCTAACAAGCTATTGGTCCGTTGGCGTTTGGCAGCTGCGCGATCGTGCGCAGGAGACGCTGGTGCCGACAGGAAGTGGCTGCATACACAGCAGTAAGATGCTGTGTAAGGTGGAGGAAAAGGCAGTCTGGGAATTTACGCTTTCTAGGAGAGAAAACACGAGGCGCCTTTTTAATATTATATGTTGCTAGGCAACCACTGAATCAGCTGTCCTGTCCGTCTCTTATAGCGCCAGCGATCTAAGCTTTGTCTCACTGCAGGAACGTGACCACAGGTCTGCGTCTGTTGTTGCTTTAATCAAAGACAAACGCAGGGCGCCTGGAGACACGCAGGAGACAGGAAGAGGAGACGCCGCTGATGGCACCGCCAGCTGGTCCAGCAGCTTCGTCTTTATGATGGCGGGGACAGTTTGTCTCTGGACAGTCCAAGCAGCTGGAAACAGTTGAGAAAAAAAAAAAGCAAGAATGACGTCGGGCGCTTTTCTGCTCACAGTTGAATGTTAGGCGCAGGACGCAGGACGCTCACTGCCAATAGGAAACGATTTAAAAAAACGCCTCTCACTGCAGGAAACGCCTCCCTTCTGATCCGGGCTTACTCCTCCTGATGTTCTGGAGGTCTCTTCAGAGGCTGCAGCACGAAGCCAGTCCACCAGGATCTCAGTCCAGGATCTGTTATAATACCGGGCCGGGTGAACCAGCACCAGGATCAAGAGCTCCGGTCTCTGCGTCACGTGGACGGGCTTTTACTAGCACTGATCTCTGATCTGGACCAGAACCTGGTCAGCCGCTCAGCATCAGGTACCATGGCGATGTAAGAGGAGAACCACGGCGTAGGACTGAAGGCGCCGGGAGACTAACGGGACTCACCGTGTCCGCCTCATGTTGGCGATGTTTCCCGCCACGCTGAATCCGTCCTCGTTGAGTTTCTCCACCTCATCATCAGGTTGTGCCAGTCGGCGGCGTTGTCTTTGACCTTTCGGGCACTTCCTGTGACAGCGGAGCACTTCCTGTTTGCTGGGGTCACCGTGATGTCACCTGACTGACCTGACAGGGGAGACAGACGGACATTTTTAGGTTCTGCTGTCAGTCATGACCTCAGCTCACTGTGAGCTCACGCAGGGAGAATTTGTCCAACTTGGCGGCGCCGTTTTTAGACCCCGCCCCTGCAGCCGCGTGCAGCTCACGTTAGACTACGGCCCAATCCCAGACCCCCCCCCCGAACCCTGAACCCTCAGACTTTACTGACGTCACTTTGAAGCTTCCCCCGGTAACCCTCGTGTTTCACGTCATACCGCTATGCATTGTGGGCAGTTTCTCTTTTCCCAAATTTGTGCCTCCTCCATCCTCGAGCCTGAGACCCAGGCCTGATCGGGGAGGACGTAGGTCAATACTGAGATGATCACATGACTCCTGTCTAATCTCTACTCGGTGGAATTGACCCTTCGCTAAGCCACGCCCCGAATACCCAGCTGGCCAATCACAGGCAGTACAGGACTCGCTCTAACTTCCCCCCCCCCTTATTACATTTCACAATTGTACAAAATCTCGTCAGGAAGTTCTTTTCTTTCTTTAAAACCATACAGACCTACGAGAACAGCAATAATAATATAATAATAATAATAATATAATAATAATAATAATAATAATACTAGTGAGAGTAAACTTACATGTTCAGTCAACATATATATGAAATTATCACCAGCACATTATTTCCATTCATTCAACAGTTCCTGATCAGCTCTTCAGAAAAATGTTCCCTTTTCCAATCCCACATTATAACATCATTTCAGGGGCAGCGTATTCTGACTAATAACGATTTTATTTTTAGACACAGATTTACGGGAAACAGACGCAGCAGGTCAGATTTAACTGACGTCGCTTTAAAATGACGCTCCGAGGAAACATCTCATTTCCTTACATGCTTGTTTCCTCGACTCCTCGAGCTCGCGAGGAGGCAGAACTGTGGGAGATGAGAAAGGCCCCGTGCGCGCAGCCGCAGTCGTCGAACGCACCTAACGTCAGGCTGACCGGAAGTGCTCCTAAAGACCTGACCCGCTTTGTGAGACCGAATCGGAACCGGTTCTGTCGCCGGTTTAAACAGGCGGCTGATCAGCTGATCGGCGGCGGTTGTTCAACACGCGGAGCCTCGTGCAGGAGCTGCTGATCACTCACCTTCCATCTGATCACACGCTGCCGATCACTTTTCCACTTCCTGTCCTCCTCCTTCTTCTGTGGTGGAGCTGCTCCTCCTCAGCAGCTCGTCAGCGCCCCCCCCACGGACCACCACGTGGTTCCGTTTAAGACAGAAAGAGATTCTTCGTTGATGTTGGAGAATTTGGGATGAAAAGAAAATAAGTTTTAATAATTTTTATTAATTCGCTCAGCGGTCAGTCTCTTTCCATCAGCAGCCAGGCTCTTCAGTTAACTCAGTATTTTATTTATGTCCATCTTTAAATCAGACTTCAGCTCCAAGACAGGAACAAACATTTGTCCTGCCCAGCAGCCTGGTATAGAGTATAATGACCTGGATACCATATTGTGCCAGACAGATTTTACTTTAACAGAGAGTATTAAAATAAACAAACAAAAAGGAACAAACATTTCTACTGAGGTTTCAGACAAACAAAATAACCAATAACTAGTTCAAATGAAAAGACGATATTTATTAGTCGTAACAGCGTCTCT